AAGCTGCTGAGATTTAAACAATCTGTCCAGCTGTGGGGCACAGCTGTGCAGGACGAAATACCCTTCTGGTGTTAAGAACGTCAGAGCAGCCCTGCTGAATCAGACCAAAGACCTATTTTTAGTCCAGCATCCTGTTTTTCACAATGACAAACCAGATGCCTATGTGAATCACAAACAGTAGCGTGATCCCGTTACTGATATTCATCAGAGTAATTATGTCAACCATAAGCATGTGATAGAATTTTTTAGGAGGCTGTATCACAGAGATAAGCATCATAACTCTGATAACTGCAGGTAATGTGTAGTCATCAAGACTAGTAGCCACTGATAGCCAATCACTTTATCCTCCAAGAAGTCATCTAAACTGGTGGCCCTGAGCACATCTTGTGATAGCAAATTTCATAAACTCTGCACTTTTTTTATCCAGAAATTAAGACAGATTAGAATCACTGTGTTCATTCACACAACATTTAAAAAAGAAGACTCAGTCATACAATATTTGTCCCAAAATGCAGTTACAAAATGGCAAGGAAAACTGGCAGAGTTGTGCAGAGGTCACATGCAATATCTAACACTAGTCACTGGAACTCCTGTAACCACATTCCACACTGCAATGAATGCGCTAACAAGAGAAGGGACCTCATTTTCCTATCAACATTGAAGTCTTGCATGCTCTGAAGATGTGATATTGCACCAGAAGATCAAATTGAATGGAATATTTGAGAAATGAGAAGCAGTACCACATATTTTGCATTAAAACGGTCCATTCATACCAATAATGTTTCTGGAGTGCAAACAGGTGCTAGTGGAGAACTTCCATCTGACTGGTATACAGAATTAGTTGGAGCCACGTCATGGCATGAAAAATGTCAGTAAGAAACAACCTGTATGAGGTGAATGTTGTTGGAGGACAGATGAATAGGTGGAAATGCTTTTTTTATGTCACTCTCAAACAACAGGAATGTTCAGATATTGGAGGAGCAATGGAGGAATAAAGGTTGGGAGGAGACAGGTCTATATATTTGCATACACTTGAATGAATTAATACAAATATTATTTATTTGCGTAGCAGAAGACATTACAAAAAGCAAAATACATAAAACAGAATCACATACCTTATACAGTTAAAATAATTATTAAAATCAGGCAATCTGTCAGGTAAGAGTTTGCTCTCTTGAAGAATGTAGCTTATCTCTACAATTTTTTCTCCTTAAAATTGCTGCTCTAAAGGCAAAACAAGCCACTTTCTCAGAGGTGCAGAGTGACTTCTGTCCTTTCAGAATTTTTAGTTTTTCTTGCACTGCCAATTGACTTAAAATTTTCAAGAGTCTTCTTAACCCTTGTTGTGTTTGAGACAATTGAATAGCACACACTTGAAAGACATTTACCCATCAGGTTTGGACTTTAACACCTTGGAAGTAGAGCAGAATTCAGGATGTTGTGCAGAAGTTCATCACAAGACATTCAGATTAGGTGCAAATCCATGAGAAAGAATTGGTTCAGATATAACCTAACACACATCTAGGGACACGGGTAGCACTGTGGTCTAAACCACTGATTCTCTTGGGCTTGCTGATCGGAAGGTCGGCAGTTTGAATCCCCATGACAGGGTGAGCTCCCGTTGCTCTGTCCCAGCTTCTACCAACCTACCAGCGGGAAGGTAAACAGTGTTCTGTCACACCAGAAGCGGTTTAGTCATGCTGGCCACATGATCCGGAAAGCTGTCTTCAAACAAACACTGGCTCCCTCAGCCTGAAAAGTGAGATGAGTGCTGCCACCCCATAGTCGCCTTTGACTGGACTTAAGTGTTCAGGGGTCCTTCACCTTTTGCCTAACATGCACCTGCAAAGGTATTGAGAAGCTTATCTCATTCCATTTTGAGCAGCTTATCAAATTTCCATTATAATGCTTAGTCCAATAGCAGTGTTAAATACGTACATACGTTATTAATAAGACATCAAAGTGATTGTGCTCAAATATATGTGTTGAGGACCTCAGATAAGAGTGGTAAATTTGCTCTTTGGACCTACAATGTCTGTAGATATACCCATCAAGGGCATGAGAACATTCGCTGATATAATGTAGGTGGACTAATAGCTTGGATCTGTATAAGGTAGCTTTCTCTGTTCCTAAATGGCTGGCTGCCTCTACCCCTTCCATTTTGCCCCTGTAAATTTGCTGCTGTCACAGGAGAAGTTGGAAGGTACAAATTTCACTGTGTGGAGGAAATTGCACCTTTTTCCTGTTTTGTTTTCACTGCTGTTATTTTTCCACAACATCTTCCGATGAACCCAGTAACCCATCACCCTTAAGGAAATGACAACTCCCAAAATAAGATTGATTCATTTCTTTTTGTGCAATTTCAGGTCCTTCCTGGCATCCATCCCCCCCCCCATTTTTTCCTCTTCTTTTGAAATATATGATGATTTGTGCTCATGTGCTGTTGAGGTGGTCACATGTGGTCCTGATTTTAATTATGTCTGCACGTGAAAAAAGTTCTGGAGTGCCACAGTGCTTCATTTGCAAGCAATGCATATTCTGAAATCATTTACACACAAATAGATAAATAGAATAAAACCACCACTAATGCACTGTTGTTGAGCCAATAATTTGTTGTGGAATACACCTGCAAGAAATGATGGCACCACATTTTCTTGTGCTTTTTGTCCCAGAGTCAGTTCTACTAAATCCTTTCATTTTTCTATCTTTTCATAGCAAAAGCTATTTTTACTGACCATACAGATCCCCAGAATCTCCAGATAAAACCTTTCTCATGGTTAATCTAGCAGCTAAGTAAAAAGAAATGCAATCAACAGAACTTTCATAAAACCTACCTGAACCAAAACTATAGTTTCCCCTGAAAATATAAAACATTGATCAAGTTCATGTAAACTGGAACAGGCCTGCATTTATTTATCGCTAGTAGATTATAGGGGAATCCTAGTGAAAAATCAGAACAGGAATTTCGAGCCTGGGTGTAGGAGGAAATTTGGCACCTGGAGGCTTGATGAAGACTGGAATCAAGGTTTGGGGGGGAGAAGAATATTTCTAGGCATTCCTTGTGCTTGGCAGTGCTTAACAACATTGGAAAGCAGCCTGTGGCTGCTCACTGAGACAATGTATTTGTCATGTATTTCTGTTACACCCCTGTTGTAAACATATTTATTTGAAGTAAATCGTCTTGATTTAAATTGAAGTTATTCCCAAGGATGCAGCTTTTTCAAGCATCAGGGGCCTGGAGGTCATGGAAGATTGGGAAGCTAACATTTAAAACCAGAAGTCTAGCCTGATAGGTAAGGACAGAACGGCTAAAATTAATGGCATGCATGGTTTTGACTGGAAAATAATAGGTTCCTGCCTTTGTTGTGGCTCTTTATTAACCTGAAAATTAAATGTATGAATCCTGACAATGAAGTTCAGATCCCCATAGCTCTTGAGCCTCCAAAGAATAAACAGCATGCCATAACAATATGCAGAATTACTGAGATTTTGATCAGACGGTCCAAATGAATCTCATTGTGTACCACTGATCCACTAACAATTCTGCTTGTATCTTAATCACCTGCCCAGGAGGACTCCAGTCCTCCTGCTGAATCAGCATCTCCTTTGCTGGAATAGCATCCCCACAACTGTCTGGGAAAGTGCAAGAGATCATTCTGATTTTTAGTGGACTCTCCAGAGCATAAACAGAGTTGTAAAGGGCTCCTTCAGTAGAGGCTTTGTGCTGGTTCTACTCCAATATTTTACTAATGGATCACTCTCCATGGAGCAGAAAATGAAAAAGGAAAACAAAAACAGGGATAGTGTTACAGACATCTTGCTTCTATGAAAGGTTCCTTTCAATCTTGCTTCCATCTTGTTGTTGCATCCTTGCCTGCTAGATAAAACTCTTTCCTTCCCCGCTGTGGGGTGTCTTTCTGTTTGTTGACTGCAGAACAGGGCAAGTCATGTGAGCAAAATGCTCATTAAGAACACAAAAGCGTAGCCATAGCTGGTTTTGCTTCTGACCCCTCTCCCAACACTTTCCTCAGTAGGGTGCACCATAACACGCCTTGCCTTCTGCCACCGGGAAAAGGCAGGCGACCCAAATGCAAGAAGGGCAACACACATAAAGCATACATTCTGTGCTCCAGTCCTCAACCATGATATGTTTCATATACTTGATGACACTTAAGATAAGGGTCATTACAGGGAGGAGGGTTTTTGCTTTGCTTTTGCTTTATTACATATTTTGTGTTGTCATTTTCTATTTATATGTTGTGAATTGCACTGTGATATTTGAATGAAGGGTGGTATACAAATTTAAATAATAAAAATAAGTGGTTTAATACAGAGTCAAGGGACGCGGGAGGCGCTGTGGGTTAAACCACAGAGCCTAGGACTTGCTGATCAGAAGGTCGGCAGTTCAAATCCCCGCGATGGCTTGAGTTCCCATTGCTCGGTCCCTGCTCCTACCAACCTAGCAGTTTGAAAGCACGTCAAAGTGCAAGTGGATAAATAGGTACCACTCCGGCAGGAAGGTAAATGGCGTTTCCGTGCGCTGCTCTGGTTCACCAGAAGTGGCTTAGTCATGCTGGCCACATGACCCGGAAGCTGTACGCTGGCTCCCTCGGCCAATAAAGCGAGATGAGCGCCACAACCCCAGAGTCAGTCACGACTGGACCTAATGGTCAGGGGTCCCTTTACCTTTAATACAGAGTGAGACCCCTGGTCCCTCTAGCTCAGCATAGCATATGCTGACTGTCATCAGCTCTCCAGAATTTCAGACAGGAGATGAAACCAGAATGCACTGCAACACATTCACTGACTTCATTGATATTTATATTTACACTATTATATGCTGGATGTACAACTTCCTCTTTCATCGTGTTTACAAAGCAAGGTGACTGTTCACTTCTCGTTTCCAAGTATGGGCTGGACTTTCTGTGATGAAATATGATCTTAGATGACGGTGGGCACTTCTCAAGCAGCTATAAAATAATGAAGTTTCCTCAACAAGCAGCAGAAAAACTAGAGCAGACCCCACTGGACAAGCAGGATGAAGTACCTTGCAGTTCTCTTCACCATTGTTGCTCTCGCCGAATGTCTCGTTAAGTAAGTTATCGTTTTGTTGCTGATATTTACTCTTCTGACAGCTATACTTTCTGATTAACTAATGAAGAGGAGAGGGAGTGTGAATTATAACTTCAAATCTTATAGAATTTTTCAGATATAGACACATATATAAACACATACACACAACTGAGAGGAGATTAGTAAATGTAAAATGGTCCTCTGGCAGCAATTACAAGGGTAGAAGCACATAGACTCACTGAAGAAAGCATGGCTAATGTCTAATTTGAGATGGAACAATATTTTGGGGCATTTGTGTGGGTGCTTTTTTTATCCCTTGCCTTCAGTAGTGCAGTAACAGGATGATGCTCAGCACCTGAAGCTCACCACAGCATGTCCGAAGTGACAAGAGAAAGTGGAATTGTCAAACTGTTCTTTGTAATCAGCAATTGAGGGCCCAATAGCACACTTTAAAGTGCTGCTGACACTAATTGAAATAAAAAGGAGTCTTAAAAAATGGGCTGCAAAGAATTCATTTTATGTCAGTCAAATATTAAACACCCTACACACCTACAGTTGTTTTACTTTCAGCTATCTTCCTTAAAGTAATTGAGAGATGAAGCAGATTAACATCCTTGTCTTGTATCACAGCAGGAGCTGGGATCCTAGCACTCCATATGCTGCGGGACTTGAACCCCCACCATCCCTGACTATTTGCCTTGTTGGTTGGGGCTGATGGGACATGGAGCTCCACAACCTCTGGAGATCCACAGGCTTCTTTCCCCTGCATAAAAGCTGTTCAAATCCCACCCATTCTATGGAAAAGATGCATGAATGAATGTGTGCAAGATTATAGGCTATAGTACTATTTCTTGATGCTAAAAAAAGACTTTGATTGCATTGAGTGGGTGCGAACTTTCAGTTCAATTTCCTAAGTGCTCCCCCCCGCTTTTTTTTCCAGTAGCTTAGATCTAGTAGTAAAGAGAGTTTAGATGAGGTGGTAATATTAAACCTATTATTATGTTTGGAGTTATGGAGTGGAAAGACAGGTTGCAAAATAAGCAAATTTTAGGGAGACAGAAAATCCAAACCTAGTATTTTGTTTCTTATGTTCCAGGATTCCCTTGCAGAGAGGGAAAAAAGTAAGAGACACTCTCAAGAAGAAAAATCTGCTGGAAAATCTTCTTCAGAAACACCGTTATGACATTGGTACAAAATACAACTCAGCTTTTTCTAAGGCTGCCCTGGTGGCTGAAGAACCACTTCTGAATTCCTTGGATGTGAGTTGATGCTTTGCTCTTATCAATTTGCTGTGCTGCTGAACAACATTTCCCCAAAGTTTTCATGATGCTCAGTTGAGATACTTCTTCATATTTCTCCTGACACCCAGAGGTAATCAACATAATACTGTGGTACCTCAGGTTACAAACGCTTTGGGTTACAAACACTTTGGGTTATAAACACTTCAGGTTACAAACTCCGCAAATCCGGAAGTAGTACCTCGAGTTGTAAACTTTGCCCCAGGATGTGAACAGAAATTGCGTGTCGGCGGCACAGCAGCAGCGGGAGGCCCCATTAGCGAAAGCGCACCTCAGGTTAAGAACGGTTTCGGGTTAAAAACGGACCTCTGGAACGAATTACGTTCGTAACCCGAGGTACCACGGTATGTTGCATGTACTTAGCACAGATTTATAGTGATTACCTTGCATATCTGTGAGGAAGTAAAATGTTCAAAAGCCTAAAAAGAAGGAAAGTTTTGCAAATTGTGTTTGTTTTATGAATTAACAGACTGAATACTATGGAACAATCTACATTGGAACCCCACCACAGAAGTTCACTGTTGTGTTTGACACTGGATCATCCAATCTCTGGGTACCCTCTGTCTATTGCAGTAGTCCAGCATGCCGTAAGTAACTGACTATAAAAAAGTCTTCAAGCATGTCAGTCTGATATTAAAAAAGACCTGGGAGGGCCTATGAAGTTGTGTAAAGGAATGGATTCATTATTTCACTCAGGTCATAATTCTATTTATCTATGAGTAGGGTTGATTGAACTCAGTGAGGCCAACTTCTAAATAAATATGTGTAGAATTGAAGGTGGGCTTGCAATCCTATACCCACTTACCTGGCTCCTTCAGATTCAATTATGGGGCATGATACTGAGTAAAACTGTGTAAAACTTTACTCCAAATCATGTGGATTTGGTTTTGCAAAACTTAATTCCCATTTTTTTTGTCCACTATTATTTTTAGTAATGTGTACAAAAATGAAAATGCTAAAAAGAATATGCTTTTTTGAATATATGAGTTTTTCTGCTAGATATTTTCCAAATGCCCTACACTTTACATTGTTCCAATAGTTTTCTTCAAGCAACCAAATTTATACTGTAGTCTTATATCTATAATTAAAAGCCATTTTTACATTAGTTAAACACTGTTTTCTTTTTCTTTTTAGAAAAGCACCAGAGGTTTAACCCATCTCAGTCTTCTACTTTTCAAAGCACTCGACAGACCATATCTATTCAGTATGGGACAGGAAGCATGCAAGGGTACTTGGGATATGATACAGTGAAGGTAATTCAACTCAGTTCAGTTGCATTACATGAGTACAGTACAAACTGCGAAGACAATGTTATAGGCATCTCTAGAACCAGTGCAATTCAGTCTCCTTGAATCCTGGAACTGGAAAGCAGTCTTTCCTTTAAAGATGTGTAGATGGATGCACATCAAGTAATTCAGAACAAACTATCCAAATTATCCAAATAGTGTATATTTTTAATGGCCATTTAGAGAATCAGAGCCGTGCAATATTAAAGCTGGAGTCCTTAAGTCATAGGATCCTAAAGTAAATTTCTATGAAATAGATGGGACTTTCTTCTGAATTAACAGATTGAAAAAGAGGGTGCAAGCCTGTTAAACAGAAGCAAACATTGATGAACGAATATGACACATGCCCTGTGGAAATTCTCTGACAAAAGGGAAGCCTCCCAGATGATCACTGTATGAGGGGTACATAGGAGACGTTATTGATTCATGTACAAAATGTCAAGACACAGTTAGTCATATAAAGAAGTTTCATCTTCAAGAAAAAAGCAAGTTTAAAAGAGCCACTACTTGCTCTGCACCTTTTTACAGATTAATCTTGTTCTATGGTTAAAAGAAAAAGAGAAATAAACCCTACCGGGTTTAGTTCGCTTGCATAGAACTGAAGCCTTAATACATCAGTAGTAAAAACCTGCTCTGCAGATCACAGCTTGACATGAAAGTAAAGGTCTACTCTGTTTCTCTCCTAGGTATCCGGTCTTGCCGTTTCAGATCAGCCATTTGGCTTGAGCAGCAGTGAGCCAGGCATCATATTTGTCTATTCTCAGTTTGATGGGATCCTGGGCTTAGGCTACCCAAACATTGCCGTTGATAGTGCGACTCCGGTCTTTGATAACATGGTGGAACAAGGCTTAGTTCAGCAAAACCTGTTTTCTGTTTATCTCAGCCGGTAAATAGTGTTTTTATCTCTTGGTAATATTATTTGTTTTGTATAGCTGGGAGGAATCATGTGCCTGATCTGACACAGGTTGTCTTTTGGCTATTGCTCTGGCTGTTGTGTTGTAAATCAGGCTGGCCAATCCTGTACTCTAAGTAAGATGGCTGCCACTGTGCTGTACTTGCATTGGTATAAGGCAGGGACCCCAGAAAATGATTGGCAGAGGGGGCTGGAAGCCCCCCTCAACTGGCCAGGGCGCCGAGCCCCTCCAGAGGTGAATGATCTATTGTTGTCAATGCTACTTGATGAAGAAGGAAAGGTCCATCCAGTTTTCTAGGACATAACTGCACCCTCTTGCTTGTTGTGCCTTGAGAGCAGGGTTTTGCTATGAAGAGAGGGGCCAAGCTCAGGGAAGCTAAGTGTTAATGTGGAAGAGAGGGAGGTAGACAGAGTTAAGCAGGAAGAGAAGAGGCCAAGACTTCTGCTTCTAATTTTTTTACTATTCTATAATTTGTGAAATTGTAGAATAGATAATTAATTAATTAATTAATTAATTACTATCTCATCAGTAGAGTTAATATCCCTTTTGATTTCAATTGAACCACCTTGATATCCCTATAAAAACACTTATGGAGTCTTTGCTCCAAATCACAAACTTACCCCATCCAGAATAACTGGAGGGCATTATTGCAAAGATAATTTCACCTATTTCTGAGGTAGAGGAGTCAACAAAAAGTGCCAATCTTTCCCCCTCACCATGTGTATAATATGCAGCCCAGATCTATATATGTCAGCTTAGAAGACAATGATACTCATGAGTTAGTGTGCACAGGACTGAAGTCTTGTGAAAGGAAGACTGCAATCTTCCAGGTGGTGACAATTCTAGTTCTTGTCCTCTTTCTGGCTGAGAACTACAAGGGTAACACTGACACTAAGGAGGAAGAAACTGAAAGACATTATGAGATTATGAAGGGGGAAATCAGTTTGTGATATACAGACCAGAGTTGCCAATATTATGATGTACTTGACAAGACTGGAGAAATGTATTAACAGAATTTGCCTTTCGAAATTCGCTAACCACCAATAGATATTTATTCACTGTGAGATATTATACACCTTCCTACTCTCTCTCTCTCTCTCTCTCTCTCTCTCTCTCTCTCACACACACACACACACACACACACAATGGGAATTGGGACAGAGGTACAGAAGCAAGTGACATTCACATTTTAAATGTGTAGTTTATCTTATTCTGAATGAATGGATTGCCAACAGCACACCATATATTTTTGTTTCAGAAAATCAAGTGGGAGCATGGTCATTTTTGGCGGAGTTGATCACTCTTACTTTACTGGTCCTATTAACTGGATTCCTGTCACTCAGCAAGGTTATTGGCAGATTGCAGTGGACAGGTAAGCAGAAATTGCTGCTGCTGCTGCTATTACTACTACTACTATAACCATTTAAAAAGATTAAATACAAAAAGAAAGGAAGAGATAGAGGACAATGAATGTGAATACTAATGTTCAGTTTACTTTGTATTTGCTAGTTGGCAGTTAGGTCGAACTGATTAGTTATTATCATTATCTAGTTATATAGAATCCTCATTAACAGCACTTCTACAGAGTGTAAGAGGACAGGTCCCTGCCCAGAACAGCTTGCAAGCTATAGTGCCTGTGGTCTTATTGCCTTCTACAATTTCCAATGATGTAATATCGGCTAAGACAGGAGAGAACGTTTCCTTAATGAGAATGGAGAGCTACCTTAAGGCAGTTATGACATCCCGCTATCCATGTTGTTTTAAGTTCATGTTTGGGGGAAGGTCCTTTGCTCAGTGGTAGAGCATTTTCATTTTGCATGCAGAAGGTTACAGGCTCAGTCACTTCAAGTAGGGCTAGGAGGAAGACTTATCTGAAGCACTGATGAGCCCCTGGTAGTCAGCTTGGCGTTTACTCAGTGAGATGGACTAATGGTCGGTATATGGCAGTTTTGTATGTTCCATGTCTAAATCTAATGATTTCCAATTTCTCAGCATTCAAGTGAATGGTCAGACAATTGCCTGCAGTGGTGGCTGTCAAGCAATTGTTGACACGGGGACGTCCCTCTTGGCTGGTCCGGCATATGAAATTAGCAAAATCCAAAATGCCATTGGAGCTACCGCAGCACAGTATGGCGAGGTAAGATTTACTCTCTCACACCAATTCTCTTCACTTTGTGGCTGAAAAAGACTCAAAAGCACCCTAGCATCCACACTCAGTACTCAAATCCTTAGCCAGAGTTCGGGTTTCAGATATGCGCAACGTAAAATGGTTAAGATTAGACTTGATCCCGGTTTCCTCCTGGACTACAGCTGCTGGCATCTCAGTCCCATGCTTCATGTTTCTTTATGATACTGCAGAGGCACACAAATGTGCACAAGCATAAGGAAATACGGTGTGTAAGACTGGAGTGGTAGCATCCCTTGTGAGCATGTATAAGGAATGCAGAAGGAAGAGACAATGGCAGTGGTAGGAAAAGGAAACAAGCTGAGGTTTGGCTGAGCCTGGGTGACATCCAGGGAAAGAAACAGCTCCAGTAGGCCTAATACTGAATTCACAAAGATAGCTGAAGTGATGGCATTCATTCGGAAAGGCTTGTAAATTGCCTTCTGCTGTTAGATCCTGATGTAATGAGAGGATGATCTGTGAAATCTTCTATCTGACTGGAATTTCACATGTGACCTTGCCTTTATCATATGACAAGGGTCACCTGAGAATGTCCCATGAGTTTATTGGACTGTTGTGTGTTCTGAGAAGGGTTTGCAATTTATGTAAGGTGACCAGATGCAGAATTGGACAGGGCTCTTGCACCTTTTATAGTTGTGTAGAAGAGGGGTTTTCAGTAGGTGTAAGCTTGCATGACAGGCTAAGACATTTGCTCTTTTACACAACTATGAAAGGTGCAAGAGTCCTGTCCAGTTCTGGATCTGACCACACTACCCGCACAGAGAGAGAGAGAGAGAGAGAGAGAGAGAGAGAGAGAGAGAGACCTTACTGTCATTAATTTGTACTATTGTCTCTCTTCAAAATATCCTCAAACAGTGTTCTTTAGCACAGAGCATACATAGGCATTCATTACTTCAGCATGCAAATAGCTCCACCTTCAGAATGAAGAATCTAGACTCAGACCAGAGTTTAAAATGCAGTGCTGTAATATCTGAATTGGTTGGGGCACATGGTTGTTATGTATGAAGATTAAATGAGAAGTTTTAGGTTGATTCACTTGTAGTCTTCAGTGAGTTGCTTTGCTTTTATGTCACAATGTTCCGCTCAGGCCAGTGGGTTATACCAGATGCTTATCTGAGTGAAGTCCAGAAGTTTCAGAATTTCACTTAAAGTGGAAGGTGTGGTTTCCTGAGGCAGACTTTGTGGGTGGGGGGGAACCACTGCATTTCTTGAGCAAACCTGAGGTTTGCCTGTTCATTTCCTTCAGATTAACTCAACACTCCTCCTTATCTTTTTCAGTATAAAATCAACTGCGGTAACCTCTCCAATATGCCTAATGTTGTTTTTGTAATCAACGGAATCCAGTATCCTCTCACCCCTTCAGCCTATACTAATCAGGTACAAAACAGATTTGTATTTACTGAATTACGGAATTGTATTTACTCATCAGGAGTGCAAGTTCAAAAGGGTTTGGGGGTTTATCAGCAGGGCAAAATCTTTATGAACAAATGGGCTGCAAACCAGAAAAAGGAAAGAAATCTTTGAGAAGAAATATTATTAGATATACAGACACTATCAGAAGAGCTGGGTTGATACCTGCGTATCTCACCAAAAGAAACGGTCAACCCAGGTAGATAAGATGACTCTGTCCTGTCAAGGATCAAGAGATTCTCCACCAACATAGTTTTGTGACTGTTAATATTGTATCTCTGACCACAGATGATTCCCATCCTGGGAAAGGTGCCCCATTAAGGTGGAAGACCTGGCTGCCTGATCGTTTCCAGGAGGACTCACATTACACCTTCCACCAAAAATAGCCTCCTGAGATTAAGCTATAAATACAGTGCTCAAATGCTACAAGTTATTTATTTTGCTGTTGCAGATATGGCTGAATGTGGAAATATGCTCTGTTTTTCTCCCCTTGTTTCCTCTTATCAGATATTGTACAATCCAGAGAATTTCAAAATCTCACTCCCCGCGTTATCCTATTTCCCAATGCATCAAGTTTAACCTTGGAAATGCAATGCAAGAAAAGGAGCCCCTTTGCACCCACTGCCCCTGACTTCTCCATCTGTAATAGCTCCTCCATTTCCACACCAAAGGCTCGAAGGCAAAGCATTGCACTAAAGCATTGATAGGGAACCTGTGGCCCTCCCAGTGAGGTATGACCCCAGCTCCAATCATAGCGGACCATTAGTCATGCTGTCTGGGGTTGATGGGAGTTGGGAGTCTAACAACACCTGAGGGCCACAATTTCCCCACTCCATCCGAAAGGAAAAAAAGAAAATAACCTGGATACAGCAGCAACGTGACATCATACGAACCCTAGCATGCAATATGTTTTCAATATAGGATGCCTGGCAGATTGATTCTGTGATTGTGCTGTGCCAGGTAATTGTCGCTTGCATTGGCTTGAATCCCATCCTTTGATGTGGCAGAGGCAGGTGGGAGGAAGCAAGTAGCACTTAATAGAATCAAAGAATCACAGAATTGGATCATCTAGTCCAACCCTCTGCAATGCAGGAATCAATGCATTTTACTGGGGCCCTCTACTTACTCTACAGGGAAGGGCTGGAGCTCAGGGCTGGAGCCTCTACATTGCATGCTAAAGGCCCCAGGTTCAGTTTGTGGCATCTTCCATTTGTGGCATCTCCGAAACCCTGAAGAATTGCTACCAGTCAGTGTATACAATAATAAATGGATGGAGCAATGGTCTGTCTCAGTATAAGGCAGCTCCCTATCTTCCTATGACTTCAATGGAAGTATTTTTCCCCCTTTAGACAACTTCTTTTGCAGGCATATTGTCACATTCTGTTGTCATCCAACTAAGCTCTTCTCCCTATCAAATGCCCCCCCCCCTTGTGGTGGTTGTAATGTCAACCAGGAATAAGGTTAATGTCAGTGCAGCAGTGCAAATTCGCCACACTGGCAAGACCTTTTCCCTATACAAATTCCAAGGATAGGATTGCATTTGCATTCAATGATTGTTTTCAACAGAGCAGAACAAAAGCAATGTCAGAATCATGATTTCCTATAACTTTTAAATACTATCCATACTTGTACAATTGGCTTATTTGAATTGATTAGGATATCGAATTATTAATTGATAGAGTGAGTACATAATGTGCACCGTTGTCTCTTTAGTTGTTGAATTTGTGTTATTTCTCTCCATTTCTTTTGAGACTTTTTCAGAGAATATCCTGCGACTTCCTTTTTTAAATGTTGGAATGTTACCCTATGCATTTTTTACCTAGATGGGTATTTATGTAGAATAACCCCTATCTGATGGCTGTCCTTTTCTTCCCTTCTAGGTGATGCAAGCAGAATGCACTAGCGGTTTCCAAAACACAGCTGGGGACCTCTGGATCCTAGGAGATGTGTTCATCAGGGAATATTACAGTATTTTTGACCGGGAGAACAACCGAGTTGGACTGGCAAAGGCAGTCTAGAATAACTGTGCTTTTAAACAACAGCATGGGCTGTAATTGCTCATCTAATCAACTTACTCAGATTGCATCTTAACTTCATAGCTATTTATCTGAGCAAATAAGCAAATAAGCAGCGACTCCAGTTATGTACTTTTAAAAGCAATATCTATCTAATGTCTTTAAAGAACCTGCAGATGATAGCACTGTTATGCCATATATGATCTGAAAATGGTGAATTTCAAATTAATAAACTGTCCTAAAGCTAAGTTTTTTTGTTAGCGATTTCTGTGTAAAAGCCTATAGTTAATGTGAGTCGGGGTGCCTATTTGAATAAAATAGGGGGGGCAGGTAAGCCCCACCCTGCAGAATCAATCACATGATGCAGTGCGCAAACACTATTTGAATGGCAATGCCCATTGGCGGGGGGCTCAAATATTTTATTGGGGGACCAAAGGGACCTCAGTGCCTAGGAAATGGGGTGCCATTTCAGAGGTCAGCAAGCAGAGCAGGGGAGGGGAAAGACAAGGGCCCAGGGCCCACTCTCAGAATCACTCCAGTGCAAGTTATACAGAGAAAAAACACATCAATATACTTTATTTGCTGTTATTTCTTTTCTTTCTTATAGCTTATAAATATAAATTACTGTGCAATAAAACAATGCACAGAACTGGAGAGTGACCAGAGATATAGGAGCTCCTAATTTAGGAATGGGGAACCTCTGCCCCTCCATAAGTGAGCTGCAGTCCAGCAACACCCGAAGAACCACAGGTTCACCATCCTATTCCTAATTGATCATCACATTTTGCCCTAAACTGGGTGGAGAGAATACAACTGTGCCACCTTGCTGCCCTAATAGTTTCAGGTGATTCCTATCTTAGTTATCCTTAGAGCCACCTTGTTAGGCAGGCAAGAACAGTTTGAAAAGTGAGTGTATAACCATTTGGATTAATTGAAATACAACCATATCTGGATCCTGTACTGAAAACATCCTTTCTCCAGGAAGCTTCACCACCAGGAATGGGCAAACCCACCCATTTAGCTTTCTCCCAGTTTCTTCCTTTTCCAGCCTTAACTTCAGTTCTCCGCATTTCCAGAATTTAAAAAAAGTCTTCATGAAAATTCACATAATTTTAGTTCTGTCTCCTAATATGCATGTTTGCATGCCATTTTGCCAAATATGCATATTTTTTCAAAGCAAAAGTGCATTTTTGTATGTTATTTTCACCAACACATTACCCTGGGATGTGGGTTTTTATTTTTTTGCACCCATTGCATTGCGGGAGAATTGTCCCGCAAAATTTGGAGAAGTCCAAATCCTGAAAGGTGGCTGCATTTTGGCATTTGTTGGGTGGCCTTTCAATGTGAACAGAATCAAATTTCTCCCCCAACTCTGCTCACCACTTCATGTGCATTTGTACTGGCAAACCCACAGCTGGCATGGCATGCTGAAAGAGTGACAGAAATTGCTCATTAAATAAGAATCTAGGTTTCTGTGCATCCTGTTTTGCACTGCTTTTCCCCAAGAGCCCATCACACAGGCAAGATACTGGGCAAAACCTTGCCTGGTATTTTGCTGCAAAGGTGCCCCGTGCTTATTGGGTGTGGAGCTAGGGATGCAAGATTAATATTAACCAAAGAGAGCTTTAAGTTTTAAGAGGCTTTTCCTTAAAAATATATATAGAAGAAGCAACTAAATTTCAAAAGAAAAATCTAAACCACTAAAATATATTGTAAGTCACCTGCTCGCCCCCCCATAAGAAATTACTTTATACAGCAAATTGTGATACTTTGGGAAGAAAAAATTAAAGTAGATCCAGTTGTGCCTTTCTAAAAGTAATAACTTTAAAGTGCCTGTAGATGGAAGCATTGCTATGGCACAGACATTCTGAAAATTATGAATTATGAAACTGGCTCAAAGCTTGGCTTTCTGTAGTGATTCATGTGCGGAAACCTATAGTTAATGTCAGCATATAGTTAATGCCAATTAACTGGATGAATTGCTCATTAGATTGAGGGGACTGATCTTTGAAGTCCAAACACATTCCTCCACAGTCCTCATTTGCTTTTAAAGTTGTATCACACTTTTCAGGTTGACAACAACAAACCCAGCCCACACTCAAAGATAGCCACATTTGTTTATGTATCATTATTGTTACTTGTGTAGGTTTTTCAGTACAGACTTCATCAGTGCCAACAGGGTACTCTTGCTAAAGCACTATTGAACAGCCCTAGTCAAAGCCGTATGTCCTCTCCCTTATGTTTGTTCAAACTTTGTTACGATCAAACATTCTGTTATCTAAAAATGTAATGTGAATGTATTTGAGATATACAGTGTATTTTTTAAAAAGTTACAGAGAGAAAATTCTGACAGCAGTAAGAAATGTCTTGAAAATCAGAAGAAGAAGAAGAAGAGTTTGGATTTGATATCCCGCCTTTCACTCCCTTTAAGGAGTCTCAGAGCAGCTAACATTCTCCTTTCCCTTCCTCCCCCACAACAAACACTCTGTGAGGTGAGTGGGGCAGAGAGACTTCAAAGAAGTGTGACTGGCCCAAGGTCACCCAGCAGCTGCATGTGGAGGAGCGGAGATGCGAACCCGGTTCCCCAGATTACGAGTCTACCACTCTTAACCACTACACCACACTGGCTCTCAGAGCATCCACAGTTCTGGATTCCTAGTACATTCAAAAGATGGGGGGTGGCTACCAAACCAGGAATAATTGCCTGGATATGAAAAATTCCTGTAGTCTGTCCAGCTTCATTTGAATTTTGGACAGCATTCAGTCCAGATTTCAGAACAGGGAAGCCTGCCTAGCTTTAGCATAGAAATTTATTAGCAACGTCCACCTTTAAAAAGCAAATATCAGAATTTAACTGAAAGAACCACACTGTAAGGGAAGAAGTTTTTATAATATTCATGAAGACCTACCACTCTCATAATAAGTGTCCCTTTTTAGAACTGCATCTGATAATATCGGAGCACATCAACGGTTTCATGAAATGGATGGAACAGAGTCTGGTGTCTAAACTGTATAGTATGCTAATCTTAATAGATATGGGTACATCTGATGGTCTAAGTCAGATGTGGGAAGCCTACTGCCACTGTTAATAAAGAGGTCTGGGCATCACTGTGGGGAAATTTCCTTTTAAATCTGTCTCAACCTCAATGAAAGATAGCACTTAAAATATGGCAAAAATGGTATCTCACGCCTATATGTTTAGCCCATATTAGAGTGTCTTATTCACCAAACTCTTGGAGAGGATAATCTAATCAACATACATGGTGGACATGTGGAGAAGTGGTTCAGTTTGTGGGCCAAATATTTGTCAAAATAAAAGCAATTGCTGGACAATATGTCCAGAGTTACTGCTGTTCCATCTTTCCACACAAGATAACACTAACTTACAGTTCAAACCCTTAATAGGTTCCGTTTTGCTAGAGGACAGGCTTGTAATAAGGAGACACTGGAGGAATGTGGAGATTATCTCTTTGACAAATTGTTACAATCAAGTATGGCAGATAGCAATTGTGGAAAAACTGACTAATAAAATGAAATTGGCACAAGGCTTGAAGCATAACGACTCTCTTGCAATGTATTCTGCTGTATCATTATTTATATATATATAACAGAAATAAAACTATACAGTCATACCTTGGGTCCCGAATGCCTTGGGAGTCGAAAGTTCTGGCTCCCGAACAATCGAAAACTGGAAGTGAGTGTTCCGGTTTTCAAACATCCTTTTGGAAGCCAAACGTCCGACGGGGCTTCTGCAGCTTCTGATTGGCTGCAGGAGCTTCCTGCAACCGATCAGAAGCCACGCTTTGGAACGTTTCCTAACTCAAAAGGACTTCTGGAATGGATTCTGTTCTATTTCCGAGGTATGACTGTACAAAAAACAACAACAACACATTAAGAGGCAAGAAATGAAAACAGAGGACTTTCCACACACTAGAAAATGTTTTGACTCATATAAGCTGTATATTGCCCTCTATACAGATGCTTGTCAGGACCTGAACTAATTGTGTTATTTAAGAGAAATAAATATTTTTAATGGAAAAAAACAGTTTCATAAAATTTTGGCTCTCTAAAATACTTCTGTAACAGAGCACTCCAACCTTCTCTGCACTGGGCTTGTGGGGAGAGTGAATGGATTAGGTGGACATGTTCTTTCATCCAAGCCCAGGCTGGTGCAGTGAACTGCCTGTCCCCACAACCTTCTGCCCTGGCTGCTAGCTGCCAGGAGTGGGTGTCAAGAGCAGGTCAACAATAAATCACACAGACTAAGTGAAGTTAATTCTTTACTAGAAGAAACAAGGTCTGCTCAAGAGTACCAGGCCTAGTGAGCACGGCAGCTCTTCTCAGCTGATCTTGCCCCTATGAGGCAGTTGTGGGGACTGCAGGTCTTCGCCTTCCCACAGCTGCCTAAGTCTCCTCCTCTCCCAGGTCCCTCCCAAGCAATCTGAGACTCCACTGGTGCACCTGCCTTTGCTCCTCTTTCTTCATACCTCTTCTAGTTCTGGGAGATCAGGAGGGAGGGTAGCTTGTCACAGCAGGAGTGGGAGACATCCTGGCTTCGTCACCAGCCTGACTCATCCCTGCCTCTTGGCCTCCCTCCTCTCCTGCTTCTGCTTCTGCATTCTCCCTGCTCAGTAAATTATTATACTTTGGAAGAAAAAATAAATAAAGTAAAAATGGAAAGATGGGAATTCTTAAAACTAGCTTTTTCCAGATGAATATGTGCAAGAATGATCAGTATCTTATCCAATATAAGCTTTTTTTGGTTTCAACATCTTCCTATAGCAGCTACTGAGGAAACAGTGAGAATGTGGCAATGTTTGAGAAATGAATTCCTATGGCCTAATAAAACAAATCAGTAATTAAATCTAGGCCTTGAGGTCATTAAATGAGTTCAAAAAATTCATACGGTATAAACCAAAGTAAGGCAGCATAAAATTTATCAAATTATGAGTAACTTGGGAAACAACAATTAACTATCATTCATTTACATTTTTATGAGAAAATATGGCTTCACTGCAAATAGCCCTCCTATTTGGTAACAGTAATTATCAAAGGATCTAAATTTCAAATTATTATTTGGTATAAAGGGAATTGCTATTAATTGTCAAGAATGCAATCAGTTGCTATTGTTACAGGGGGTTTTTCCCCTCCAGGGTTGGCCCAAAACATTTTGGCACCTGAGGTGAGCAAAAACATGGCACCCTACCCACTGCCAGGGAAGAAGGGGCAGAAGGGGCCTGGTCTGAATCCTGTTGGGTGGATGCACAACCTAGGAGACTCAAGATGGCAGCCTCCACCATTTCCTTCCTGGGGTAAGAGGAGACTAGTAGCTCCTCCAAGCAGATCTGGCTTCC